GAAAGGTGAAGAGGTGAAGAATTTGATCACTCAACTGGAGCGGAGTATAGCGTCGTACAAGGAGGAATATGCCCAGCTTATCTCGCAAGCGCAAGCCATCAAAGCCGATCTAGAGAGCGTGCAGGCCAAGGTGAATAGATCGATCGCTTTGTTAAAGTCTCTGGTCATAGAGAGAGAAAGATGGGAAGCGACGAGCGAAACGTTCAAGAGTCAGATGTCCACGATAATCGGAGACGTTCTATTGTCATCCGCCTTCTTAGCTTACGCCGGCTATTTCGATCAACACGTAAGTTTCAGAATTCTGTTTACATGTTTTGATGTGACGAATTTGTATGTCAATCTACAACGAAACGCATTTATTTCAGTATCGTCAAAACCTCTTCACGACGTGGTGTCAACATCTGCATCATGCAAATCTGCAATTCAGGCCCGATATCGCCAGAACGGAATATCTGTCCAATCCGGACGAACGTTTGAGATGGCAGGCGAACGCGTTGCCAACCGACGATCTGTGCACCGAGAACGCGATTATGTTGAAGCGCTTCAACAGATACCCGTTGATCATTGATCCGTCTGGTCAGGCGACGGAATTCATTATGAACGAGTTTAAGGACCGGAAAATCACGAAGACCAGCTTCTTGGACGATTCGTTTAGGAAGAATCTCGAGAGCGCTTTGCGTTTCGGTAATCCACTGTTGGTCCAAGACGTGGAGAATTACGATCCTATATTGAATCCTGTGTTGAATCGGGAACTGAGACGAACGGGCGGACGCGTGCTAATCACACTCGGTGATCAGGACATAGATCTTTCGCCATCCTTTGTTATCTTTTTGTCGACGAGGGATCCAACAGTGGAATTTCCGCCAGACATCTGCTCGCGTGTAACATTTGTCAACTTCACTGTTACGAGAAGTTCTCTGCAAAGCCAATGCTTGAATCAGGTGCTAAAGGCCGAACGTCCGGACATCGACGAAAAGAGATCCGATTTGCTGAAGCTACAGGGAGAGTTTCATCTGCGGCTACGGCAACTCGAAAAGTCTCTGTTGCAAGCGTTGAACGACGCCAAGGGTAAGATTCTGGACGACGATTCCGTGATTACAACTCTCGAGACTCTGAAACAAGAGGCTGCCGATATTAGTAAGAAGGTGGAAGAGACGGACAAGGTTATAGCAGAAATCGAGACAGTTTCTCAGCAGTACCTGCCTTTGTCTCAGGCGTGTTCGAACATGTACTTCACGATGGACAGTCTCAATCAGGTACATTTCCTGTATCAATACTCGCTGAAAATGTTTTTGGATATCTTCACATTCGTGCTGTCGCAAAATCCGAAATTATCTGGTATCGCGGATTATAGTCAACGACTCACGGTCATCACGCGCGATCTCTTCGCCGTATGTTACGAAAGAGTCGCGCGCGGAATGCTGCACACGGATAGATTGACGTTTGCTCTGCTGCTCTGTCGCATCCATTTGAAGGGTATACCCACGGAGTCCACGTACGACAGCGAGTTCACCTTCTTCCTGCGAGGTAAGGAGGGTGTGCTCAACATCCGAGCACCACCAGTGCCGAATCTAAGCTCGGAACAGCAGGAGGCGATGATGCGCCTGAGCATAAGACTACCTGCCTTCAAGAGACTGGCAGACAAGATTCAGGAGAACGCGGATTCATTTAGCGCGTGGCTGCAGTCGCCCACACCTGAGACATGCGTACCAAAGCTCTGGGACGAGGAGAAACCGCTGTCACCCACGGGAACGACGATGCATCAATTGCTGGTAATACAAGCCTTCCGGCCAGATCGCGTAATCGCGGCCGCGTCCCTCGTCGTGTCCTCCGCTTTCGGCGAATCGTTCATGCCGGCCGCAGAGGCCGAGCTTGACTTCGCGTCCGTCGTCGAGAATCAACTGAAGGCAAACGTGCCGGCTCTGTTGTGCTCGGTACCGGGCTTTGATGCCTCGGGCCGAGTAGACGATCTGGCCGCGGAACTGGGCAAGCAAATAGCCAGTATTGCTATCGGATCGGCGGAAGGATTCAATCAAGCTGACCGCGCCATAAATATGGCTGTGAAAGCCGGCAGATGGGTGCTGCTGAAGAACGTACATCTCGCTCCGCAATGGTTAGTACAGCTGGAGAAGAAACTGCACAGTCTGCAGCCACACGCTAGTTTTCGCTTATTCCTAACGATGGAGATTAATCCGAAAGTACCGGTAAATCTACTCAGAGCCGGTAGGATCTTTGTGTTCGAACCACCTCCCGGCATACGAGCGAACCTGTTACGCACATTCAGCACCGTGCCCGCCTCGAGAATGATGCGAGCGCCTAATGAGCGGGCCCGTCTCTATTTCCTGCTTGCGTGGTTCCACGCGATCGTGCAGGAACGGCTACGTTACGCACCGCTGGGCTGGGCTAAGCACTATGAGTTCAATGAGAGTGATTTGAGAGTCGCTTGCGACACTCTAGACACATGGATCGAGGCCACGGCTATGGGCAGAACGAATCTACCGCCTGAGAAGGTCCCTTGGGATGCTCTAGTGACCCTTCTCTCTCAATGCATCTACGGCGGCAAGATCGACAACGATTTCGATCAACGTCTTCTGGCTTCGTTCCTGCGTAAGCTCTTCACGCCACGCTCATTCGAAGCTGACTTTGCCTTAGTCGCCAATATCGACGGGGCGCAAAGTAATCAAAGACACATTACGATGCCGGACGGTACTAGACGCGATCACTTTTTGAAGTGGATCGAATCTCTCTCGGATAGACAAACACCTTCCTGGCTCGGTCTCCCGAATAACGCAGAGAAGGTGCTTTTGACCACAAGAGGAACTGATTTAGTCTCCAAGCTGCTCAAGATGCAACAATTGGAGGACGAGGACGAGCTGGCGTACTCGAACGAGGAGTCTTTAGTTACGCCGAGGGAAGCCGAAGCGGATGGTCGGCCATCTTGGATGAGAACTTTACACAATTCAGCTTCCACCTGGTTACAATTGCTACCAAAGAACTTGCCGATCTTAAAGAGAACGGTCGAGAATATCAAAGATCCATTGTACAGATACTTTGAGAGGGAAGTCAACAGCGGGGCGAAATTACTTCAAGACGTTATCCACGATTTAGAGGATGTCGTATTAATCTGTCAAGTGAGCGGTTTTTATTTTTTTTCAAAAGAGTTAATGAAGCATTCGGAATAATCGCACTTTCTATATCTTTGACAGGGCGAGAAGAAACAGACCAATTATCATAGAACGATGCTGTCCGAATTGGTAAAGGGTATTTTGCCAGTAGGTTGGAGGAGATATACCGTGCCAAGAGGCTGTACGGTCATACAGTGGATCACCGATTTCAGTCACAGAGTCTCACAGTTGCAGGAAGTTTCGCGTTTAGTCTCTCAGGGAGGAGCAAAGGAGATAAAGGTTTTTTCTCTATTCTTTTTCAAATAATCGACTCGTTTCGCTATTCTGAATATTTTATTATTGTAGATGATCTTACAACCATTGCCATTCTTCATCACGTAAACCTTTTACTTACCGATTGAATTCGCGTTATAAATCGAAATTAATTTTTTTCAGAGTTTCCCGGTTTGGCTTGGAGGCTTGTTGAATCCCGAAGCTTACATCACTGCGACTAGACAGTGCATTGCGCAGGCCAACAGTTGGTCGCTCGAAGAACTGCAATTAAACGTAACTATCGGCGATGGCGATAACATCGCTACAGATGATTGCTCATTCGCCGTTACTGGTTTGAAGCTTCAGGGTGCCCAATGTAAGGATAATCAATTGTATTTAACCTCGACCATTATGACCGATTTACCGGTCACGATGTTAAGATGGATACGATCGTCCACGGAGGATATCCGAAGGGGCAAATTGTCCTTACCGGTTTACTTAAACAGTACTCGTACCGAGCTGCTGTTTACTGTCGATTTGAATATCGCTCCTAGTCAAGAACCGCACAGTTTTTACGAGAGAGGAGTCGCTGTCTTGACATCCACTGCTTTGAATTAATATTAATCACTCGATCATTACGAGATCGTTTAGCGCGAATTATACCGCTTATAATCACAAGTAACTATTATGATAACAACAGATTCAGGCATATTGCCGCATGTTACAGAATATGTTTGTAAAGAAAATGAGGGCATAGAGTAACATGCTACTACAAAAGTTTAAAAATAAGAATTTAAAAAAATCTATATTTTACACGAATTGCTTTCGAATTTCCAAAGGATTTTTGTGCTAAATGTTTAATTAGAAACAAATCACGTTCGGCACGTATAATTAAATGTGTATCATTTGTTTATTAGAATTGACATCTTAGTGAGAAGGGGAGGTTGTAATATATCTATATAGTTTATTTAATTTTGTATACGTTCAGACTCCCTTCTCCTCTCAAATATGTTTTTTTATAACAAAGTTACATTACATTTTCGCCCAGATGTAAGTATATATCGAGATATTATAGTGTTTATAACACAGAATCTTAACTGGCATCTAATAAAGTCGTACTATAACAGTATTATTTATCTTAGCTATTTGTATTCAACTGTATATCCTTAACATATATATATCCTCTTATCTTTATTAATTTTAATTTGTCAAAGATTATATAATTTAATAACAAATTTACTTTATATATATATATATATATAAATCAACTAGATTTATCATATCAAAAATCGATTTTGAGATGTTGCTTACAAATCACACGTGATTCAGTATAAGCTACATCTTATCGCTATGTAAAATAAAAAAACAGTCTTTGAACTAGTCAAGGTGACCGGATGTTCTTATCGCCGTATTTACTTTATCAGCATGTAATTCTGAAGAGGTGCTTTATCCATCATAAACATTTTTACAAGGGAAAAGATTACTTTATTTATTAAATGATATATCGCGTATATATTGACGCAATTAACTCACGTTCTTATCACGTATTCTTATCGTATATATGAAACGAGAGGATTTCATATGCGCTGGGATGTGGGGTTAAAGAAATAACAAACACCTAAAATTTTATTTCATATTATAATTATCGCAAACATTACATGTATCGCTACCTTTTGTACAGCATTATTTTATGTCAAAGTTATTTTGCCCAGGGTACACAAATATTACAACTGCATTTTACTATTACAGATGTCTGAAAAAAGTTTGCATTAAATATGAAAGTATTCTAAATCTAGATTTTGTGTGTACGTGTATACAAGTAAATTATATGCATTAATAAAACAGAATAACTTTGATAAGAGAACATAATATTAAAAAAATATAATGGGAAGATTATATATCAATAGTTGAAATACAAAAATGCAAGATTTAGTCTCTTATTTTTTCCTATTGTCGAAGAGGAAATACTACAATTCTGGTTTTATATGTGCTGAAAAAACGGATTATATTATATTTGAGAGAATGACTTATTTAAAGAATATTAATAGAACTCTATTTTCTCTCTACAGACGGTTATCATACATATAACGCGCGCGATTCTTAATCCCAACTTCCCATATGTTAACTTGTATAGTGGCGAAATAAGGATACCGCTATTATATTATTTTATTCTAAAGTTATCTATGATGCACTGCATTGTATGATCTTTTACACTAAATTTTGTTGCGATCACTGTGCTGAATGCTATAACTTTAGTTTGTCAAGATGTAATCGTTGCTATACATTATCCAAAATTATTCGCAAAACAATAAGAATAATCATAATATTGTATCTATGAACATAGAATTCTCTTTGTAATATGGAAGTTGTATCTTTGACATAGTTTTTGTTAACTTCAGCTTTGTCAAATTTTATTATTCTGTTGATGTTTAATAATTATATACTTTTATGTGAATACATGCTAATTTATTTCAAAATGTGTACTAAATATATACAAAAAATATTTGCAGATAAATTAAATATATATTAAATATTTTAGAATTTCTATATTGCGCTAGTGAAATTTCATTTGTTTGATGTGTACATATATATATTTCTCGATATATATATTTCGAGAAATATTACTAAATCTCTTTTGAATATAATCGATTTCAACAAATGTTTAGAAAACACATTTTGTAAATATCCAATATTATCAGGAGGTATTTTATGTGTTTTATCAAATATGCTAAAGATACTTCAATGTTTCTTACTCTTAATCAACAGTACTAATCTTAAATTTGTTAAATTAAAAATTTATTTATGCGCTACCTACAAAATAATGTTTATATCACTCACGTTTACATCAACAAGTATTTGCATTGTAATTTTTCTTCAGTGGGATGCTAATTGTCGATCATATTTGATTCTACATATTTTTATTCTACATAAAAAATCTACCTTGCGTTGCATTCCGTTGCACAGTGACAAAAAGGCTTAAACTGAAAATTGTGCCAATTTCACTTACTATCAATGATATAATTCATTTTATTAATCTGGAGTACCCTGGAATGCTTAAGTTAATTATGTTTAACGCAAAGTTATGTATATTCTACATTTATGAACAATGACCGGACTCTAATAATGTTTGTATTAATATATATATGGGTGTGTAGAAACTATAACAAAATATATTCTATAGATTATACAACGAATAGAAATTGAAGAAAAAGTGGCTGACTAAATTCGACTTTATATTGATCATCCATCTGATAATGCCTTTCTTTTAGCATTGAGAAATTTTGTACAAGAAAACTTCCCCCAAATCTTTCTTTAACATTTGAACAGAGTTTGAACTGAACGTTTTTCCGTAGATAATAGTGATCTAGATCTATATAATTAGTTTTACACATAATATAATTAATAATAATTGGTTTACATCTATGTGCATATTCATTATATTCATCATTACATAACACTAATGACTAGACTTCATGTTATGTTGCTATTTATACTCGGAATATAACGGCATAACTTTGCCTTCATTTTTCAGCAAATATTTCATAATACAAAATCAAAAACATTCAAATAGCAACATCCCGTTGCAGGTACAGTCTATCTTCCACTTTTGATAATAAAGTGATCTGTACATGCGCTATTTAATAGTTATAATATGAGAATCTGTGATATGTCACATGTGTTTTGCACACTGACTAACAATTTTTATGCTTACTAGTTACATATCCATATATATTCGAATATAGAAACACTTATTACTTGTACAACAATCACAAAATATCATCATATCAGTGCGGAATATTTTTTTCATTAGATCGAGATGAGTGTACAGATTTATTCCACTAACGAGAATTTTAACGTTGTCTGTATAGTTTGTACCTGCAGACCGGTATGCTACATGAGTCATGTCATTTTTGCTTTCAAGTGTTAATTTATCAGTCTTCAATGACGATGAATAGAAAATGTTAGTAAAGCTTACAGGGATATTTATCACTATGGATAAAGACACTATGGAATGTATGCCTGTACGGTAACCTTTACAGGTTTACGACATACTCCACATATTTTCATGTTCTTTGCGCACTCTGCACAGGCTAGTAAGTGCCCACATGGCATAAATACCATTCGTAATTCTCTACTGTAACATATTTTACACATTCTTGCATCCTTGTCAACTGGTTTATCACAAGACGCTTTGACAATAGATTGTTCTTCGCTGACTTCGCTTGACTCTGTACTGAATGTTGTACTCTCTTTGTTAGCATCTTCGGAACTGGTGGAGTTCTGAGAACTTCCACTAGCAGTACACTCGTCGTAAGCTTTACCAGATGTTTGATCTTGTTCAATGTTTGCGGATGGTTTCACAATATCCTGAAAAAGAATTCAAATTTAACATGTCACATTATGTTTAATGTAAATGTTTCAAGTTCTTCTACAGGTACAAATGTATATTAAGAATATGCAAATTGCACGATTTCACATTTATTGCATGAATGAAAAGTAGATTTTATTATAAATATTTACCGGTTTAGCATATGTCCTTCCAACAAACTTGCTTACATAATCCCTTCCTTTGACCATAAGCAAGTACGAACAGTAGTCAAACCATTTGGCATGCTGTTCCCAAGGATCATCTTCTGGCTCCCAATCTCTCAATCCTCCTCCACAGTGGTAGCACAATGTTTGATCACCATTTCCTGTGTAGAAAAAACCAGCGGCTGCTAATTCTTCTTTAGTTTGTGACATTGCTTTAGGCCACGTTTCAAATGTACATAATCTGGCATCGTAACTAGCATATTCAGGATGCTTCGGTCTTGTGGCGGTAAGACCTCCTATGTTAAATTTCATGGCGTTTTCTGTGCTAAAATCTTCATTATCGGGACCAGAATAAGGCATGTAAACCGTACCATAAGGTCCGCATACATCGATTCCTTTAGGCACAGACGCCGGAATCGTGCTAGGATCCGCACCGATCGGCACATTGCCGCATGGGACATTACGAACGAATCTACATCTTCCGGACCATCGCTGATGATCGACCATTGGACTGTCATCTGGTTGCCACTGGCATATCTCTACGTGACACTCGAAGCATTTTACCTTGTCTTTATCGCCAATATAATAGAATCCAGCTGCTGCAAGTTTTTCTGGTTTCATCCATGCACATGGCCAATTCTTGAAGCTTTCTAACCGTGCGGACTCTAATCGATAATCAATGTTGTCGGTTTCGTCAGCTATCTCAATAAAGTGGGATGTTATAGATGGTGTTGATCGCAAACGGTTCGAAGGAAAAATATATTGTTCGATGCATCCAGTCATCTTTGTTATATATTTGTTAGGATGCTCTTTTGCCTGAGGATCTACAAAGAAAAAAGAAGATAGAGATTAATAGATTTATAAATTTCATTAAATAATAATTTGTTAACAATTCTAGCTTCTATTTACATTCAACACAAACAATATAAGGAAGCAATACACGTATATTTTTATTTAATGTTATGCAACTTCCATTTTCCTTGATTCTTTATCACATATAAAATTGCCACAAGCCACATATATGTGTGATAAGCTCTAAATCACAATTAATGTATAACAAATGTGGTCTACTTAGTTATCTCAAATATTTTACTTCGATAAGAGATGTTGTTATGCGAAGCATGGAATAAAAAATGTAAAATATCAAAAGAAATACTATTAAAGCTAGACTAACTGATTAATTAATTAAGAAATCAAATCTTTTCATTCTTTTACATCTACATACTTTTTATGTGACCGATATGAATTGCAATGGCAAGAAAAATTATAAGAATTATTACCAATATTTTAACAAATATTAAATTGCTCAAAAAATTTATTTATTTATTTCGTTTTATTAGTATAAAAATTGTGTGGATTATTATATATTATATATATTATCAGTAAATGTTATACAAAAATGTACTTTTTGAATTTTTCGGAAATCTATACACCTGTGTATAAGATAATGTGTTATTACATGTTTATTTTAAATACTCTCTAAATAACGAAAAAAAATTACCAAAATCTTTGGAAATAATTGCGTTGATGAATGTAACAAAAAATGAATTTTAAATGTGAGCTTTATTGCATCGGGTTTATTTGTCCTTTTTTTTTTTTTCATTTTCAAAACGATCATCTGATCGACTCTGCAGCCTTATGTCCACGAACTCGGACAAATGTTTATTTGACCAATCAGGACAAAGAAATCTTTGCTATTCTATCGGTAGATTTTCGAACACAATCTCGGAGAATTTTGTCAGAGTTGTAGCAACGTGGACACAGAACTTTACATATAGAGATGATGGATGACGCGGGAAGGATTTTAAAGCCATCTTCATGAACAGCGTCTGTACATTTTTCTTACCATACGAAGACAATTAAGATACCTTTTCATAATTACCGTTTAATGCTCATTTTCAATGTTATGCCCTTTCTAGACCGGAGAACGATCCTACTTGTGGCTCATCCTAATTAGCTAACTTCAGTATGATTTTTGTCTGTCTACACTATGCACTATGCACTCGGATGAGCCACAAGTAGGATTCACCTATCTTTTGTCCTTCTTATTAAAAAGGAATCATTTTACACATATATATTAAAGTAAATTAAGTATAATTAAGTATAATTAAGTATATTAAAGTAAAGCGGACCGGTTGAGAATAACTTACGCGTGGCTCTGCAGAGAAATAGACGGAGGAGACGCGGGAGAAAAGAGCGAAAGAAACTTTGCTTCATGCCTGGTGAAGAAGAATGTGACCACCACCACCACCAACACACCATCAAACCGATGGCTGGAAACCAGCACCAAAGAGCGCCTATAGGCAACTCTGGAATCATGGCGAGGTTTTGCCCCTACCACTACCACGCGCACGACTTCTATTTCTGTTCATCTTATTACATTACTCCCGGCCCCGGCGTTCCAGGGAGAATGCAGACATTAGGAGCGGCTGACTAACAACGCGACGCCCCGTCCCGACGCTTGAGAAAAGCCGAAGAATTTGATAGGATTTTCTCGAATTTTTCAATGAATGATAAATGTTCCGGAAGGTATGCCGCGAGATTTAAAATGGTACTATATACCTTCGGAAATATCAATTTTAAGAAGGAATGATTAAAAAGTCGAAATAATACCATGAAATTTTTAAATATTTGTATTATTGATAAATTTTTATTTGCAGAAAGATCAATGATGATACTCGCGGGTTTGAAATAAGTATGATTTCGCGTTTTAGCGCTATCATAAAATGTTTTACATCAGCGAGAGAGCATTATTCCACGCTATTCCGTAGAATAACGCTACGGCAATGCATTTAACAATCACCGCAATTCCTGAGAAGCCGGGAAGAGAGAAGGGCTAAGAATTTCTACTCTTGTGAAAGGTAACGCTTCAATCATGACGATACCGTGTATCAGAAACCGAATCATCCGCTGTACAAGCTGACTGTAACAATTTATTCTTTATCATCACCCATGATACATATTTCCGTTTTAGGAGAAATGCCGTGTCTCTTTCTCCTTTCTTGACATTCTCAGAGGCGTCCTCTCAGAGGCATACTCGAAAATCGACGCGATATGTAGAATAATTAAAAACTTGATTTTATTGCTCAATTTTTTTAGCCTTGGAATCTCTTTATTCTCGATTGCTTGTAATTTGACAAGCGCGTTGGTGTCCCGTCGTTTTTGTTAATGAAACTAATATTGACTATATTTGTTGTTGCAGGTCAACTTTGGATTTACTGTTCAAAGATACAAAGATATTTACAAAGCGCTTGTTTCGAGAATTTTGTAATACATATCTATATTACAAAAATGACGCATTGAAGCGGCCAAAGTGCACGCTTATTTATCATCCAGAGATTTATACAAAATGACATCAGCGCAGAACTTTTTCTTTGAAGACTGCATCTGTTTCATCCGGGCCGTAAAAGCTGGCAACGATGGAAACATCACGCGTACAATCAAAAAGTTGTGGACTGATTCTACCAACGTCGATTATAATTTCGGTAATAATTTGATCAATTTTATGTTTTTCTATACTCGAATATAATTATGAACAATTAAATATTAAATTAAGTTCATAATTTACATTTATTTTTAATCTTTATGGATTTGAATTAGAGATCGTAATTTTATCTAAACCATTCATTCAACTGATGATATAATACACCGTTTGTGGATTCTGCTCATATGATATATAGAAAAAAATGATTACTATTTGTTGTTGTAAATTCCTTGTACAGAATGATTAACGACTTATCGAAAGTCACGAGAAAGATGATGACTAGATAAATCGTTATCTTACCTTGCCCAGAAAATAGAATAAGAAATTGTAGTACAATTAAGAAGTCCGCCTAGTAGTTTCCAAGAATTAAACACAAATAAGAAATTGTAGTACAATTAAGAAGTCCGCTTAGTAGTTTCCAAGAATTAAACACAAAGTCACAGCTTGCAGTAAACGTAATAGACAACACATCGGTTAGTAGCAAAGCCTATAGGGTCAATATCTTTTGACTCGAAAACCTTTGAAAGGCCGAAAAGAAAAAAGAACCGAATAGGCGAATAGAATGAGGAAAATTTTGTAAAAATGATGAATGAAAAAGAAGGCAAGAAAAGAGAGGATAGGAAATAGATGGCACGTGATAGGCGCCAGTCATGTTCATTCAATGAATTATTCGAATAAATTAAAATATATTAAAAATTCGTGTTAAAAATCAGAGTTATATCTTGACGTTTAGTCTTTTTATTATCGGTACGTGTAAATTCTATTGATTAAAAAAAAAAGAGGGAGGACCCGAAAAGGATTGAAATAGTTCGTTTTTAAATTAGATTTGCGTAAAGGACATCAAAATAAAAATACCATATCTTTACACCTAATCTGATAATTCTATTTAAATATTTTCTAATTCTTATTGTCTTTTTTACAGATTATTTGCTCTCTTCCCGCTTGCTCTCAAATCTTCAACAAATATGGACCCACCCAATAACATGAGATAAGAAGAGACGCCATCGTACATAAAAGGATGCCGATAAAACAGGAGGGGTGGGGAGAGGGGAAGGCGTGTAGTAAACAGATGCCGATCAAATCTCAAAACTCTATCAGTAAGTGATATCGCGGTCAATCGCCCTTATCGTCGCACTTATATGCCACTTCAATATTTTAGCACGTATTCGCACTGGGTGTGCCCTACTTCTTACATAAACGCAAGTGAGTTTCCAGACGAGTAGTGAAAAAAAAGGACATTTAGCTTGGCGTGAGAAAGGAAGGAACGCATGGAATACTTTCTAAATTGCCTTTGGACTTGTCGAAAGAATGCGATACGTGCGAGTGTAATGATTAAGGAAGAGAAAAACGTACCCGAAAACCGAATTGGCTTGACTGCTGCGAATCGCCACGGCTTTGTCCTTCGGCACGACCGATCTCTCTTTCCCCTTATTGTTACGTCCCGTTTCGCGGATATATCGCGCGGACACAGATATATTTTTGCCGTCACGTCGTATCGAACGGTCGTCTCGGATAAACTGCACGAAACGCAGTCTATGTCGCGCGAATCTGGACGACGCGTAGCACGAATCTCGCGATGTGGAACCGGAAAAGACGAATAATACACGGCGCGACGATACGTAAGCTTGAGCTCGATGTGTGTGCTCGCAGCTGCTCGCGGGGAACACGACAAAGCGATACGTATACTATAGCGACCGTTTGCACAGTTGGCACGAGAGTATAGTATGATACGTCAATAACGGCTCCGGCGACTCGCGATCCCCGTTCCTCAAAAGCCCGTCAAGAGAATAAGACTCGCTGTGTGGGACGTGGGACTTCGAATATACTTTAACGAGTTCTCGTCGAGGCTTCGTAATCTACCATCTCCCCACCAGATTTCTTACAACATGACGTAAGCTCACAATGCGACGCTGAAAGCGAAATCCAAGACCATTTCCCGTCCCCCGCATTTCCGCAGAATTGTTTTTTTCTACAGTTTATTTATCATTCTTACGAAATTTGTGTGATAAACATTCTTTTATCATGTTAATCGATATCACTGGTTCTCTTAAATTCTATGAGAGGAATTTGCAGGTTTTTATTCTTAGAATTCTGACTTTTGCAACGTAATTCATATCCTAAATAAATATTAGGTCCTAAAAGCAGACCGCGTTAATGAATCTTTTATGGTTTTACGCTCAGAATTGATCCATTGTATAAATAACGTACAATGAGACACGTGTGTATAGTGTCTCGCTTGCAGAAACGGTTTCTTGAAAGTCCGGTTTCTTGAAAGTAAAAGATAAAAGATAGAAGGGAAATGTATAGATAAAAGAGCTATTGCTAATTAAACAGCAATTAATTTCAACAAAGACATCATTGCCTACAATGGAATTTCTAACTCTACAATCTCATTCCTAATCTAATCTTTGCTTTCACGTGTCAAATGAAAACAACAAGATTGACAATTTTATCAAAATTCCACAGAAAAGACCTAATTGAGGAAAATCTTGAAATTCGACGATAGAAAGAGGAGAGCGAGCCCTTGCTTCCCGGCCCACCTAGATCGACGCTGATTCATACGGCACTGACAGTAGCTGCGCGTTGAGCTATACGTATGTATATAGCATGTGTGGCGGTGCCGCAATGGCGGCGAGAAGGGAAGGCCGTGGAGAGAAAGGTCGCCTCCGCCGTCGCTGATCTCACTCGTAACGCGATACTCGAGCCTGCCGTTGAAAAATTCCGCGCAGCGTCACGATAACGCGGTCGTCTTTGTTCGCCGAATACGCCTAACAATAAGAACCGAGGCCGTGGAGCCTCCCGAATTCTCTCGCCCTCAAGATCGACAATTTTATCCAGCACACCCTCGTCGTTCGTTGACCGTTGACCGTTGACCGTTACGGTGCGGGGTGCGGGTCCATTCTCTTAAGCCGTGCTTCCTACGGAAATGAATCAGCCGTAAGATATCCCTCGGTGAGACTTCGAGACGAAACAGATGAGCCGATAGAAAAAAAATTTTCTTGGAACTACCCACGTGAAAAAATGTTGTGCGTTCCCACAGGGTGGTCCACTGTTACATTAAATTTCGGCATGCGTGTCGTCTGGGAATCCGATCGTGTTTCAAAAATATGCGCGCAATGCTTGCCCTTTCGGAGAAACTTGAGTAATGTTTAAACAATTCCCGTTTTTAGGCGCAATATCGATCGGTTACACGTTTCGCGAGAATAATGGTTAAAAGTATATCGTGCCTATCTTATCATTCAATTTGCGCGCAATCAAACGATATGATTATACGTTCCCGAAATTTATCTTGTCATTTCGAGTATTATATATATATATATATATATATATATATATACACGACTAAGATTGTAAGCATTTAAATAACACGCGATGACAAATGATCACGAATTCTCGGAAAACGTTCTTCCCGCAATCTTTTTCGTCATACATAAATTATTCTGCACGGCAACAATCTTTTGTAAGCGTAATAAACTGGAGAATCTAAATTCTATATATCACAAAATTCATTTTTGTTTTTAGTAATCAAAATATATTATAATACTTTTTTAATAAAATAATAAATTAAATACTATAATAATTGATATGATAATAGATTATTGGTTCAAATTTTTTTATTAATATATTCTTATATATTAATAGAAAAATTAGAGCAGAAAGAGTTTGTAAATCCAATATTTGGTTTTTAAATCTACTTCATCGTCAGAAGAGAATTCGTGTATATGTAAAATTATTATATAATACATTTCTTATTTGGTTTAATAAAAAAAAATTTATATGAACTACCCACGTGAAAAAATGTTGTGCGTTCCCACAGGGTGGTCCACTGTTACATTAAATTTCGGCATGCGTGTCGTCTGGGAATCCGATCGTGTTTCAAAAATATGCGCGCAATGCTTGCCCTTTCGGAGAAACTTGAGTAATGTTTAAACAATTCCCGTTTTTAGGCGCAATATCGATCGGTTACACGTTTCGCGAGAATAATGGTTAAAAGTATATCGTGCCTATCTTATCATTCAATTTGCGCGCAATCAAACGATATGATTATACGTTCCCGAAATTTATCTTGTCATTTCGAGTATTATATATATATATATATATATATATATATATATATATACACGACTAAGATTGTAAGCATTTAAATAACACGCGATGACAAATGATCACGAATTCTCGGAAAACGTTCTTCCCGCAATCTTTTTCGTCATACATAAATTATTCTGCACGGCAACAATCTTTTGTAAGCGTAATAAACTGGAGAATCTAAATTCTATATATCACAAAATTCATTTTTGTTTTTAGTAATCAAAATATATTATAATACTTTTTTAATAAAATAATAAATTAAATACTATAATAATTGATATGATAATAGATTATTGGTTCAAATTTTTTTATTAATATATTCTTATATATTAATAGAAAAATTAGAGCAGAAAGAGTTTGTAAATCCAATATTTGGTTTTTAAATCTACTTCATCGTCAGAAGAGAATTCGTGTATATGTAAAATTATTATATAATACATTTCTTATTTGGTTTAATAAAAAAAATTTATATTAAATTCGTATACAAAATAGTTGTTCGGTACGTATAGTATATATAAGAAAAACTGTTCTGAAAAGTTTATAGAATCGTTATTGCGCCCATTGCTTGTGATTCATTATTATTTTATTATCCATTGTCTTGCTTCCGAGAAAAATCGACAATCGATTTTAATCCTAATGCGTTAATTGCTTATAATACAATGGACGTCATTGTGAGATTGTTATTGCAAACAAATATGTTTTTGAATTGCAGAAAGAGTTGCAATTATTAGATTAAAGAGTTTAATTCATGAAACTACTCACAAGTTGAAATTACTCACAAGTCCTAAAGTCCTAAAGCTAAAGTTCATTTGCAGACATGAATGAAGGCGCCTATGCACCGCACGAATGCGTATACAATACAATACGAGACGAGGAATTCTATAGGAAAGGAATGTTGCAGTTAAGGGCTCCAGGATCAAAAGGGTGCATTTTTCTGCCCTCTGAGAAAGAAAAAAAAGGGCTTGGCGCGCCAAGGTTTTTGGATATTCCGGCGCCTTCCTTTCCTAACAATGTTTCAAATGCAGCGAGATTATATGTAAGAACATGCCACTCTATCGGAATGTTTCTTTTTATATATAATTTCACGGATGTTTTCTGTGAAAACTTTTTTGAAACAAGATTTCACATAGCGCATTTTTTAAATCAATTATGGATATAGTATATTATTAATGATATGACGTTATCAATAATTTATCTATTTGATAAACCTTTTTTATTTTACTTGTGATGAATATAATAAGATAAGCATGCTCTCTTGTAATAAATAGATCTGATAAAAGAATTAAACGAAAATTTTAACAAATTTAAGATGAAAAAAAGAAAGAAAGAAAGAGATTTTTAATCTTGATTTTTTTGAAAATTGTTATTTTAAATGTATGCTTCGAGATAATTGTTCAAGAGAATATCTCGAAAATATTTAAATAAAAAGATTAAACACTATTAACTTTTGTGACAATCTAGTATATACGATGCATAATAAACTAGATGAGCTACATTTTAAATAACATTGCAAATACTTAGGATTCTTTGATTGATTGATTAAAAAAAGGGATAGAGAGATTTTTTTGTCTTGTTTGTGATCGATCAAGCGAAATATTCGTAACATCAAATAGATCCTAATCTTACTAAATATGAGAAAATGATTATCGATTGAAAATTTTTATGAGTCGATTCTTTATAAAAAGATAAGATAGGCAAAATATTGTTGAGATAACGTTTTATTATATCATCATAAAAAGTTTATATTTTAATATATCATTGTACAAAATTATTAAAGTTTGTAACTTGTATACCTATATATTCTAAAATATCGCCATTACACATATTTATTGCATTAATTACATATATTTTGAAACAAATATATATAACTTACATACACACATGTTCATCGAAATGTTTAACCGTTATTGCACAAAATACTCAACATACATATATTTATATGAGTATTCACGCGCCAAACATTTAAGGTTTAGCTTTTCTCTCTCTTTCTCTTCTCCTAGCATACAGATTATATTGAAAAACTCTCTATTCTTATCTTTACGTCTGAGATCACAAATTCGATATTTTCTGCAGGTACCTGAGATTTATGTCTATATATATGTGCTTATAATTACATACTAATGATTAGACTTTTGTGTCGCTCGTATTTATTTAAAATGGTGCGATGTTTTACTCTGCTACACTTCGTTTTTTTTAGCTAACATTGTATATTGTATATCGGACATATAATATCGAAACTATCAAACATATAGCAATGTCCCATTGCAATTATAGTCAGATCTATGATATGGCACATGTGTTTCATTTAATTAATGATAATATTTGCAATATTGATTATATTATTCATATATATTCAAATATAAAAAATATAGAAACAATCATATTCTATTATTCTAATGATCACTATTGATTCTTTCTATCAATCTAAACTTCTAGACAATTAAAGCTTCATTCCTTAACAAAAGAATAGCTATCAACATTACATACTATAAAACCTGTAGATCAATATATATACGTATTAAAATTGAATTAACATAAATTATGTCATTTTTCTTCAAATATTAGCTGCCGATAATCTTCTATGATAATGCATAACCCATACTATAATAGAACTCATACAGATAATTTATTACATGGATATGAGCGATGAATTATATACTAATATAGTTAATGATGATACCGTGTGCATATTCTCATGTTCCTTTTACACTTTGAAGTGTACCGAAGAGTACTCATGTGGTATAAAGCGATATGCCATTCGTAGTAAGTTTTCATTGCAAGCCCATTTCGTTTCTAATTTGTTCCGTTCTAATGTATGTAAGATAATGGCACCTATTTGTCGTCGGTTGATTCATCTTCAAAACTGATCAAATCCTGAGAGCTTTTGTGATCTAAGAGATCATCACAAACATCTTCCAGTTCTTGCGCGATTGATAGTTCCGTGATATCCTGAAAAACAATTCAAAATTAACATGTTATTATATGTTTAATGTATTGTAGCACATTCTTTTATAGAAACGAGATTACATAAATTGCACAACTCGAATTATGTATATTGCATAAATGAAAGACATATTTTATTAAATATTTACCGGTTCAGATAGTTTCATTCCAACAACGTATGTAGAAAATGGCACCGTTCCGTAGATTGATTTAAAACTGGGCAAGTCCTGATAACATTCGTGAGCAAAGAGCTTACTAAGAGGACATTTTGCATCTTGCTCGATTGATGGTTCCAATATGTTCCTGGTATCCTGAAAAACAATTCAAAATTAATATGTTATTATGTTTAATATATTGTAGCACATTCTTCTATAGAAACAAGATTACATAAATTGCGCAACTCGAATTATATATATTGCATAAATGAAAAACATTTTATTAAATATTTACCGGTTCAGATAGTTCAATTTTAATATGTGTAGATAATGGCACCCATCCGGTTGATTCGTTTTCAGAGCTGGTCAAGTCCTGAAAGTTTTCGTGAGCTAAGGGGTCATCAAAAGCATCTTTCAATTCTTGTGCGATTGGTGGTTCCGTGATATCCTGAAAAACAATTCAAAATTAACATGTTATTATGTTTAATGTATGGCAGTATTTTTTCTTCTATAGAAACAAGATTACACAAATTGCGCAACTTGAATTATATACATTGCATAAATGAAAAATATATTTTATTAAATATTTACCGGTTCAGATAGTTCAATTTTAATATGTGTAGATAATGGCACCCATCCGGTTGATTCGTTTTCAGAGCTGGTCAAGTCCTGAAAGTTTTCGTGAGCTAAGGGGTCATCAAAAGCATCTTTCAATTCTTGTGCGATTGGTGGTTCCGTGATATCCTGAAAAACAATTCAAAATTAACATGTTATTATGTTTAATGTATGGCAGTATTTTTTCTTCTATAGAAACAAGATTACACAAATTGCGCAACTTGAATTATATACATTGCATAAATGAAAAATATATTTTATTAAATATTTACCGGTTCAGATAGTTCAATTTTAATATGTGTAGATAATGGCACCCATCCGGTTGATTCGTTTTCAGAGCTGGTCAAGTCCTGAAAGTTTTCGTGAGCTAAGGGGTCATCAAAAGCATCTTTCAATTCTTGTGCGATTGGTGGTTCCGTGATATCCTGAAAAACAATTCAAAATTAACATGTTATTATGTTTAATGTATGGCAGTATTTTTTCTTCTATAGAAACAAGATTACACAAATTGCGCAACTTGAATTATATACATTGCATAAATGAAAAATATATTTTATTAAATATTTACCGGTTCAGATAGTTCAATTTTAATATGTGTAGATAATGGCACCCATCCGGTTGATTCGTTTTCAGAGCTGGTCAAGTCCTGAAAGTTTTCGTGAGCTAAGGGGTCATCAAAAGCATCTTTCAATTCTTGTGCGATTGGTGGTTCCGTGATATCCTGAAAAACAATTCAAAATTAACATGTTATTATGTTTAATGTATGGCAGTATTTTTTCTTCTATAGAAACAAGATTACACAAATTGCGCAACTTGAATTATATACATTGCATAAATGAAAAATATATTTTATTAAATATTTACCGGTTCAGATAGTTCAATTTTAATATGTGTAGATAATGGCACCCATCCGGTTGATTCGTTTTCAGAGCTGGTCAAGTCCTGAAAGTTTTCGTGAGCTAAGGGGTCATCAAAAGCATCTTTCAATTCTTGTGCGATTGGTGGTTCCGTGATATCCTGAAAAACAATTCAAAATTAACATGTTATTATGTTTAATGTATGGCAGTATTTTTTCTTCTATAGAAACAAGATTACACAAATTGCGCAACTTGAATTATATACATTGCATAAATGAAAAATATATTTTATTAAATATTTACCGGTTCAGATAGTTCAATTTTAATATGTGTAGATAATGGCACCCATCCGGTTGATTCGTTTTCAGAGCTGGTCAAGTCCTGAAAGTTTTCGTGAGCTAAGGGGTCATCAAAAGCATCTTTCAATTCTTGTGCGATTGGTGGTTCCGTGATATCCTGAAAAACAATTCAAAATTAACATGTTATTATGTTTAATGTATGGCAGTATTTTTTCTTCTATAGAAACAAGATTACACAAATTGCGCAACTTGAATTATATACATTGCATAAATGAAAAATATATTTTATTAAATATTTACCGGTTCAGATAGTTCAATTTTAATATGTGTAGATAATGGCACCCATCCGGTTGATTCGTTTTCAGAGCTGGTCAAGTCCTGAAAGTTTTCGTGAGCTAAGGGGTCATCAAAAGCATCTTTCAATTCTTGTGCGATTGGTGGTTCCGTGATATCCTGAAAAACAATTCAAAATTAACATGTTATTATGTTTAATGTATGGCAGTATTTTTTCTTCTATAGAAACAAGATTACACAAATTGCGCAACTTGAATTATATACATTGCATAAATGAAAAATATATTTTATTAAATATTTACCGGTTCAGATAGTTTCGGTGTAATGTATGTAGGCACCCCTTCGTTGATTAATTCATCTTCAAAACTAATCAAGTCCTGAAAGCTTTCGTGAGCAAAGAGGTCATTAAAAGGACATTCTGCATCTTGCGCGATTGGTGGTTCCGTGATATCCTGAAAAATAATACAAAATTAACATGTTATTATGTTTAATGTATTGTAGCACATTCTTGTATAGAAACAAAGTTATATAAATTGCGCAACTCGAATTGTATATATTGCATAAATGAAAAACATATTTTATTAAATATTTACCGGTTCAGATAGTTTCGTTCCAATAATGTATGTAGAAAATGGCACCGTTCCATAGATTGATTTAAAACTGGTCAAGTCCTGAAAACCTTCGTGAGGAGAGAGCTCACTAGGAGGAAATTTTGCATCTTGCTCGATTGATGGTTCCCATATGTTCCTGGTATCCTGAAAAACAATTCAAAATTAACATGTTATTATGTTTAATATATTGTAGCACATTTTCTCCTATAGAAACAAAGTTACACAAATTGCGCAATTCGAATTATATATATTGCATAAATGAAAACCATATTTTATTAAATATTTACCGGTTCGGAATATATTTTCTTAATGACCCTGTTTATATAATCCGTTCCTTTGACCATATGCAAGTAAGGACAATGATTAAACCATTTGGCATGATGCTCCCAAGGATCATCTTCTAGCTTCCAAAATTTCAATTCTCCTCCGCAATGATAGCACAATGTTTGATCATCATTTCCTGCGTAGAATAAACCAGCGGCTGCAAATTCCTCTTTAGTTTGTGACAATATTTTAGGCGACATTTCATATGTACGCAATCTGGCATCATAGCTGGCATATTCGGGATATTTCGGTATTATCGCACTAAGATTTGAGCTAATTTTCTCAGTTTTTTTTGCATTTATATTTTCAAAGATATTTTTTTCTAATTGCAGGGATATCATCATATTGGCCTCACAAAATTCACACGTATCATATTCTTCACGCATAAAGGATGAAATCTTATCGGACTCTGCACCGATTGGTACATTACCACATCGGTAATTACGAACGAAACTGCATGTTTTAGACCACCGTATATGTTCAAGCATCGGGTCGTGCTGCAATAGCCATGTATGTATTTCTATATCACATTCGAAACATTTTACAGTATCGCTTTCTCCAGTGTAATAAAATCCAGCCGCCGCAAACTGTGTCGATTTTGTCCATATGTGCGGCCAGTTTTTGAAGCTTTTTAAACGGGTAGATTCAAATCGATAATCAATATTATTTAATGTGTCGATCACCTTGCGATATATGACGAATGGGTTCGTTGATACATATGATAGTGGGTGATTGATGTTGGTGGTGGTAAGCTCTGCGATTTTTTCAATCATTTTTCTAATATATTTATATAGATATTCCTTCACCTCGAAACTAACAAAGAAAAAGGATACAGTATTAGATTCATAAATTTCATTAAATAATAACTTATTAACAATTTTAATTTTCATTTACATTTTACATCAAACCAACAATAATAAGTGAGCAGTGCTCGTACTAATCGCGCAATTAACATGCTAATCCAACAGAAATCTTTTAGAAGTTGCGATTAGCGACTTATCGAAAAATAAAGAAAAATATTATCTGTCTCGTTTACCTATTTTTTTTGCCGTTGCAATCATTTTAAAGGCTTTCGAGTCAAAATCTTTTCAAAGAAAAGTAAAAAAAACTCAGAAAGAAAAAGAAAGTAGTGTGCTTGTTGTAATATCCCAAACAAAAAGGCCAAAAGATATCTTAAAGATCTAAAGAACGATAAAAGATGTCTTTAAGTCGCTTTTGAGACGTCTTTTAGAAACATGTGCTATCTGAAACTTTTCTATGAAATAACGTGATTTTAATAAAAATAAAAATAATAGAAATAATATTTTAATTCGAAAAATAATTTGTACAAAAAACAGAATTACTCTGACAATGAATGTTGCATAAAATAGTGATATTTTATCATTTTAATAAAGAACTGTTGTATATAAAACAATTATTTTTATTGAGAAAGAAACTGTTTCATGAAAAAGAAAAACTGTTGTGCAAAGTAATAAATTTCGAATCGGAAGATATCGGGTTTTCAATCAAATATATATGCACATTTAATGCATGTCGTAGTATTCGTGGCTGTATATATGTGCGTGTATGTTAAAAATCATAGAAAAATAATAGTTGGTAATCTTTTCTTGCTTAAGAAATTGAATGAAATCGTAATCTAATCGAGAAATTTACGCAAACCTATCGAATAAAAGACAAATAAAATAGGATATATTTGTCTTTTACTTAATTAATCTGCAGTATAGATCTCTCAATTGGATTATAATTTCATTTAGTTTCTTGACAGAGTAAAATTACCTAGTTATCTTTTTCTATAACTTACATACAAATATATATATATATATGCACGGCATGCAATACACATGTCGGTTTCGTTGTAAAACATAAAATGTTGGGATCTGAAAATTGAAACTAAAAGAAAACTGCAAAAAGGAAAGTGAAAGTAGAAAGTGAACCTTACAAATCAATGCCTTTTGTCTCGAAAACCTTTAAGAATTACCGAATAGATAGATAGCAGAAAAAGAATAGATGAATAGAACAGGCAAAATTTTCAAACATTCCTTTGACGTTTTGTGTAAGATAAAATGTGAGAAAAAGAGATAGGAAATAGGCGATACGTGACACCACACAAACAGTCATGTTTATTCGTAGTCATAAATTATTCTACTACAAATGACCTACGCTTTAAGTAAGCCCTCCTTCTACTCTTTGTCAACTTTCTTTTTTTATTTTATCCAAATATTATATTTTATTTGTTAAATGTTTCCAACATGATTGAAAAAAATGAATATAACTGATAATGAGAATTGAATTGATTAAATAGCTGGGAATCACGGTTTTAGAGCCACTTCAACCAAATTCCGATTAATTTAATCGTTGATTAACTTAAGCGCAATCAATATGAAAATTATGAACAATATATTTATTATACATATAATAAATATTTTCGTATATAATATAATACAAACTCTAAAATTTTGCTTTTAGCCATAAGTTAATCAACGATTAAATTAAACGGAATTTGGTTGAAGAGTGGCCTTGGCCATTATAATTGGCCATTAATCTCTACACTTGCTTATTACTTGCTTTTCGTTTTTATATCGAAATGCTGAATATATCGCGCGCGTTGGTATTCTTATGTTGTTATCGCAAACGCAAATTTCAGATTCCGGAAAATGTAATGAGTTCCGTCAGCGGATCGCCGACGACGATCATTATACGATCATTATACGAACGTGAATGATGACTACTCACCAGATCAATGTACTCGCAGCTCACGATCGGTATTACAAGACGGATTAATTAGTTTTACTCCTTATTAGAACGCAACAGTATGCGCTTTCTATGTATCTTATTTTTCTTTGCAATGAGATAATTCAGTCACTTTTGCTTCACTTTGCTTTCTTGTCCTGGGTTTATAATTTTACTGTGAGAACTAGCAAGAATCACTATAGATCACCAACGGTCACCGGCTCTGCCATCACTGACTGACTAACCACCGTCGCAGACTAGGTTCAACACACTGAGGGCCTCAGTGTGTTTTCCCTGTTCTTTATACCTTTTATTGTGCTGAGGCCCTGATGCTTTTCCTTTTTTTGTACGCATGCGCATATATGCACAGCTGAAATGCACGTGGTTGACACTTTACAATATAAGTGGGAAAACTGGCAGATAAGAGCCAAGGCGCAGGTATTGGTGTGCGAACTTATTGTTAAATTTTATTAACAAATGTGTGCATTAAAAATGTACGTTTTAGACCGTTTTTTGGTCCATCTTCAGCATGGATATAAATATATAAACAGTACGCATGCGCATATATGCACAGCTGAAATGCACGTGGTTGACACTTTACAATATAAGTGGGAAAACTGGCAGATAAGAGCCAAGGCGCAGGTATTGGTGTGCGAACTTATTGTTAAATTTTATTAACAAATGTGCATTAAAAATGTACGTTTTAGACCGTTTTTTGGTCTATCTTCAGCATGGATATAAATATATAAACATTACATTGGAATTTTTAAATTTGATATATATATAATATTTGTTGTTACAGTCAAATATCTTTTTTTTTTTATTTTTATTATATTGTAAACCACCGATGGATATATATGTGATGATCGTGTTTGGACGTTGTCCACTAATTTGTACAGACTCGCGGGTTTTAAGTGAGCTTTCCTTTCTGATTATTAATTTTAATTTGGAATTTGACTTCAACAACAAATATTGTGTATTGTGTTAAATTTTAAAATTTCACTGTAATATTTATATATTTATATTCATGCTGAAGGAAGGATGGACCAAAAAACGCTCTGAAACGTACATTTTTAATGTGCATTTATTAATAAAATTTAACAAAAATAACTTTGCGCACCCGCGCCTTGGTTCTTATCTGCCAGTTTCTCATTTAATTGTTAATATTCTATTGCTGTTATAATTGATTTTACAGTATGTTCGGTCTAGCTCCCTTTCGCGTCAAAAATGCTCCGTTTTAGCTGCCTAACACTTTGAAGCGCTTTTGTGAAGAACTGTGGAGAAAGCGAAAAGAATTTTTCATTTTATCTCATTATCCATTGTCTCATTTTCGGAAAAATCGAAAAAAGATATCGATTTTAATCATAATACACTTGCAATTTGCCTATAGGATTGTACATTATAAACAGAATTAGGATTATTGTCATGATTATTATTTCAATTGAGATTATTACATAGATATAGATGAATATAAATGAATCGCAGAAGAATTAAAAATGCGTTATTATCTAATAATTAAGGATTTCATATCATTGTTAAACAACCACGTAAAATTGTAAAATAAATTTTTAATCATAAATAAGGATTTTATGCAAGAAATTCATTTCAGCATGAGACACATAGGAATGTATTTAATAGCTTCTCCCAGCGGGACGCGTGTTTTTCAGTCTTTTAAGAAAAAGGCGGAAAATTTCGGACCCTAAATTTTTCGACGCCTATCTTATTCAGTGAAACACAGCGGGGTATTATATTGTAAGTGGGCAACAATTATATGGTAACCGTTCTTATACGGTTCTTACGTTTCTTCAACAGAAAGTAGAATTTCATATATATGCTACATGTATTTACATCTTACTTATTTAAACTATATATATTGTATTGACATTAAAACAACTCATAAAAAGAATAAGAAATTCTATTTATTTGGAAAGTTCTGCAATTTTTTTTTTGTTACATCATTTTTTGCTTGTCATTCTTTTCTTTATTAAATGCGCACTTCCGTATCTGTTTCAGAAAATCAGCATAAAGTTATTACGAATTATTATCCACCACATTGCATTATGATGCGATATTGGTAGAGAAGAATAAATAATAGCATTATACCACCATAAATGATGACGTCATACTGGAAAGAAATTATTCTATTTGGAGTAACGCATAGTGTGCTAACGATAGGACGTAGCTGAGCGCGCAAAAAATTTGCGGTTCGTATTCTATTAATCTTTTATTATTTTCTTTAATGAAATAAGTATTAATATAATGATGTATGTTATGTGTAAATATACAAAAGGGAATGTTTTGAAATGATATTAATATATATTTCTGCTTTATTCATCAAATATATTACAAGCATAGGAATAAATAATCGATAATCTATAAAATCAGTCTATCTATAAAATCAGTCTTTTCGTATTTATCGTGAAACTAATCAGTATTCATACTGTAACAATTCAGACATATGCGCTATTGTGGTAAATAGCTAATTAAATAGGTAATTCTTTTATGTAAATCTATCGTACAAAAAATACATTACACGCGCGCTTTGGATAACTTCTTTTAGAAATTTGGACATAATACACATGCATATTTTTGGCAGAGTTAGTTAAGGCATCGTATATAATCGTTATAACGTCCTAGATAAAAATCTCTAGCTTTAGTCAAAAATCTTATTTTTATCGGAAATCTATCTCTATTTCGGTACAATTTATTTTTTTTTTGTTTTTTATATAAAAAAATAAATAAATTACATTTTAAACAAATATGATGTTAAGCTTAATACTACGTTATTATCAGAAATATACATATATAAGGAAGAATAAATATTATGAACGAAATAAAACGGGAATATATAAATTTTAAAACGGACAGATAGCACAACGTCCGGTTGCAGGTACTGCTTGTATAATTTATGTTTTATGTAGTTATCTATTTGCGACATATATTTACAAGGCATCACTAAATGCGTAAATATATTATTTTTTATAATATTGATAAGACACACATATATTAATATAATCGACTGATAAAATATTTATCGCATAGATTCCGTGATATAATTCAAGGCACATCTTAAGGACCACCGCACAAGCTTTTCCGTAACACGTTACGTTACGTTAAGTACTGACTGTAAACTTAGATTCGTACGTAATCTTAAACTTCAGTTAACGCACAAACAAAATCGTAACGTAGTATGCTTTTGTTACATTACGATTTTCTCTGTGCGTTGACTGAAGTTTAAGATTACGTACAAGTTTAAGTTTAGAATCAGTACTTAACGTAATGTAATGCATTACGGAAAAGCTTGTGCGGCGGCCCTTAGCAAAAGTCAGCTTGAGTTGTTGACACACAGCGACACAATTCAAATGGAAAGCACAAATGATGATTTCACTAGACTTGTGTCGACTTGAGTTACTAAATGGAAAGCACCCAATAAAGTAACACGTAACACGAAAGAGAGTCACTGAACTGAATGCTCACTAAACTGTTTTCTTTTGCTGAATACAGCCAATCACAGCATCTTTTTCGGCGCGCCGCATTAATTTTCGGCGGCGGCGGCGGCGGCGTTCGGCGAAAATTTCAAGATCGGCGGCGGCGGAATCGGCGCATGATAATTTACCGGCGGCGGCGGCGTGGCGCGGCGGCGCAAGGGTCTATGTATGAGTGTGCGATT